CTGCCACACGGACCCGATGCTTCACAGCATCACTGACTGCAGCGATTTGTAAATGCTAGGGATTTATAAAGCGGCATTATCTAAGCAAACCCAAAAATAGTTGCTTTTCCCAGGCCCAGCTGAGAGGTTGTTCATGGAGAAAAAGCAGAGGTATATTGTTTTGCTCCCAGGGATCTGTCTAGTTGGCTGAAAAAGCATTAGAAGTGTTTGAGGAAAAGTTCGCTACAGATCTATGGCCAGCAACGTCTCCCTTCAGCTTCAGTCAAAGCATCTGCTTGCTTTTCATTTGGCCAGGCTGTGATAGTGAAATATCAATATTTGGATAAAGGGGTAAGAAAGACGCTTTGGATTTCTGGAAAGGAGCTACCGACTGCTTGTTCGTGCTGCCGCTTCTGCTCTTCAGAGAGTGGTGACTGTCTCTCTTTGAGCTCTGAGTATCTGTTCAAACAGGGAAATGCAGCGCTGCTTTGCGGGAACACCTTTTTGAGTATTTAGCTCTGTTCTGCGGGAATGTGGTCTGCTCTAGGAGCAGGGTATACCTCTGTTGGCTCCCATGGACTAGCAGTAAACCTGAGCTGCAAAGCCTGGAGCTGAGTTCCCCTGCATTTGTGAGCTGACGATGTTCATATCTAGCCAACATCGTAACACTTTGTTTGGTCTGGGTTTGCTGATAGTGCTGCTCAGTATTGCATGTCTCTGAGGGAAATACTGTCTTGGCCTGTGTGCTTGCTGATCATGCAGCTCTATGACCTGCTTTGCTACCGTTCCTGGAGCCTACATTTAACAAAACTCATGATTACAGGGGGCAGAATGTGACTGCAGGTGAGGCTTGCAAGGGCTTAATGCTGACTTTCTACTACATAGCTCTGTGGGGACCTACGCAGGGATTACAGTGAGAAATGTGCCCATGTAAGACATTGAAACTAGAATTAAAAAAATGCTGGGTTCTGCCCAGCCCTGAGTATCTCACTGCCTGCTGAGATCCAGGACCTCGGCGCAAGCATGACTTGCTCCAGCTGGAGCATCAGCATTGGGACACAAGGTCACAGAGCTGTGATTTCCTGTGCAATGCCAATTTGGCTCCTCTTGCCTGACAATGCAACCAAAAGGGGAAACTCATCTGTTTCGGTAGCAATGGGTGATGACACTTGGTCTTGTGGCTCATGTGCTTCAGAGGGACTGCCCAGGCGCATCGCTGTGCCGTGACTCCCTACATGACCTCGGGCAAGATGCTTTGAGATGGATGTGGCAATGCCTTTGAGCCGCATGTTCGTGGCCAGCTGGCTTCAGTGAAAACCAGGTTTTTGAATGCTCCACCAGCCATACGCCTGTATCTCTCTGTGCCTTGGCTTCCCATGTGCAAAGGAGCGGACAGATCTCAATTTAACCTTCCTTTTTTTCCTGTTTACATTGTGAAGCTGCTTGGAGCTTGCACTGTTTGTACAGCCCTGGCCCAGCAGGACCTCTCCTGAGCTGTGTACTACCATATAAATACTGATATAGACTAAAGAAAATCTTCCTTCGCTGTTTCATGGGCTCCGAGAGATGCTGGGAATGGTGATAAAGCCATGCCTTTCGCTGCACCCTCCTTACCCTGTTCTTAGGACGGGTCCATGCTGCATATGCCCTTAGGAGGTTGTTCCCCACGGTGCCTCTCTACACGCTCGCCCTGGTCCCTCTGCCCTGCCACGCTCTGGGCAGGCGTGTCTGGCTGTTCAGTTAATTTTGAAGCGCTGAGGGTCCAAGGGGAGCCCGGGGAGCTGAGCTCAGCCCTGCCTGCATGGCCAAGCCGCCGGGTCTGCAGGGGAAAGGCACCGTGCTGTGCTGTGCGGTGTTTGGCATGGGATGCGCCCTGGAGAGCTGCCAGGACCTCACTCACTCATCTCTAACCGGCGTTGTCAGTAAAAGAGAGTTTTAAAGATTTAACTAATTGACTAAATGTAGCCTTTCCTGTCAGGGCGAATTAGGGGAAGCCTTTATCCTGGGTTTCAGCCCAGGAGGCTGGAGAAGATGAAGCTTGCCACATGCATTTGCGAATACAGGGTCACTTTCTCCTTCTTTAGGTCAGATGCCGATGAGATGTGTTGTGATGGGATTAGGCAGGTGACTGCTGTGAAGTGAGATTGCCCTGGCAGATCCTGCAATGCCGGTGACAGGGCTCTGCTGGAAGAAACGAGGATACCGTAAACACTTCCTCAGCCAGCCAGCCCTGCCGGGTCGGACCGCTACAAACCACAGCCATCGCTGCCCTTGCTGCATCGCTGCGTGAGGGCTGAGGGCACTCAACAGCCGAGTTAAAGTACTGGCAAAGGACAGGGCAGGACAGGGTACAGAAGATGGGTCTGGAGGGGCCAGACGTATCCCACTTTCCTTCCCCGACAGCATCTGTCCTGAAATGGAGACCTCTAACCTGGGTCATTGCTGCTGTTTCCATGTCCCACTTGCCTCTGATCCCTGCTCCTTCCTTCTCTAGAACCAGGGCTGAGAGACTGAATCTTTCCCCTCAGCACTTCTTCAGAAGCGGATAATCCAGTCACCTCAGATAGTAAAGATGTAGTGGTAGGACTACATCTTTAGGGCTAATGGCTTCAGACTGCAAGAGGGGAGATTTAGATTAGATATTAGGAAGACATTTTTCACTCTGAGGGTGGTGAGGCACTGGCGCAGGTTGCTCCGAGAAGCTGTGGCTGCCCCATCCCTGGAGGTGTTCAAGGCCAGGTTAGACGGGGCTTGGAGCAACCTGGGCTGGTGGGAGGTGTCCCTGCCCATGGCAGGACTGGATGGTCTTCAAGTTCCCTTCCAACCCAAACCATTCTATGATTCTATGTAATTGCACAAGATAACTGAATGGCAGCTCAAAGAGGAGGGGAACGGTTTGTTTTCCAGGGAGGATAAGAAGTTGGATAGCAGGGTGCTTTCCCAGGGTGCCAGTGCCATGCACATGCTGACACTTCCCTTCTTTTTGGGCAGCCCAGTACCCAGCCCAGGGCAGGTCTGTGCATTTTGCTGGGATGCTGGTTGTCCCAGTCACCCTAGGCAGCTCCCCAGATGCCTCCAAGCTCTGCTCTCCCACTACTCCAACCTACAGCACTGTCTGGCATAAGCTGTCAGTTGCCCTGCTTTTAAATGACCTTCTGGTTTATGTCATTGTGCTTTGAGGTTTATAGGGACATGGATTAATAAAACTTTTGGTCTTTACTGCTCTCTGATCTGGTGGCCAGCATGAGTTGGGGCACTTGGGGTCTAGGGCTGGTGAGAGCTGCCATTACATTAGTGTAGTACAGCACCGACCTGTGAAACGCCCCATTTGGTTGCAGTGTCCCCATCTGGTACACAGTCCTTCTCTGTCCGTCTGTCCCGGAGACCAGGCTGAGCATTCTTTAGAGCTGTGTCTTACTGGCATGCAATACTGGCTTTTGGTTATTTAATCTCTGGTACGCTCAGCGGCACAGGGTTTTGCCAAGCGCAGTAGAAGTTTTTGCATTATTTTATATTAACGATGTTTGTCTGCTGTAATAATTTGGCTAAGTTTCCTATACATCTTCTGCTGTTACACTGCCTTTCTTTGTGAGTCTCTCTCTCTTGCCTGTTATACTGGAGTTGCTTTTCTAACACATTGGCTCCCTAGCCCTGTTATTACTTTTGGCACTCGGTTTGCATCCCGATTAAGCACGTTGGCTCCTGTTTTCTCTATTTCCGTGTTGGCCTGCTCTCAGGATTCCTCTTACCACTACATTTTAGCACCGCTCTGTGTTTTTATTTATTATTGATATTACAGTAACGCCTAAGAGTCCCAACTGAGCTCATGGACTGATTATGAACATGACGTACATTAATAGAGTCTCTTGATATGCCCTTTACTCGTTTATTTTCCCTCACCATGGCTCTGTTTATTCTCTGTCAGTGTGACACACTGGTTTCTGGAGTTCAAATGGTGCCGAGAGCTGCGCGTTCAGCTCTTCTGAGATTAGCTTGAAAGCTAGGTCACAGCTGTCCCCTCTTTGAGACCAGTGCTCTCCTCACCTAGCGCCCTCTGGAAGAAGGAGGACACCTCCTCCTTGAGGATGCCCGAGCTGTACCGTGACCTGTTGTGTTTTAGATAATCACTTCCAGGATCTCTCGCTGTCTGGACTTTTGTATGTGCCATGAGCAAAGTGTGCGTGTCCCGTACACCTCCTGAGGTCCTCCTGCCTCCTGCACGCGTGCTCATGCCCAGGAGCAGATGCCGGGCGTAGGACCAGATGTGCCAAAACAGGCACGGCTGGCTGCGCTCCTCCCAGCATCCATATGCATGAGCACCTGCCTGATGCTTAACAGCAGCCAGTTCTTTAAATAGCAGGTAACTGTAACTGAAGGCTTGGAGTTCAGCTGCCAGCAAACATACCCTGCTCTTTGGGAGCAGTTTGGGGCCCAGGACAGTTGTGAAGGTACTGTACGATGGGGGCTTGTGTGCCTCTGTATATTTTGTAGCTTTATTGCCCTAGTTGTGACCATCAGACGGCGTAGTATGCCCAGGGTTAAGGGCAGGGGCAGTTGGAAAAGCGGGATTTCTAGGAAGGAAGAGGTTTGATATCGATAAGGCTAGAACTGCAATCTGCATTGCAGAACCCTTGAGATGTAACCGTTGTCTGAAAAGAAGGCTGTTCTGGCCTGCCTTTCTCCTCTGGCTTTGGTTTGTGGTTTGTAGTTGGTCTAACAGGAATAAAAATTATTTTGGTGCTGTGTGCTGGTAAACGGTGAGAAATGAAGCAACAAAACACCAAAAGGATCTGTTGAGTCCTGGGCTGTGAGCTGCTGTGCTCAACCCAAACAGGTATAGGTTGGCTTAGCCAGGGCTGATCTCATGGATTTTCCTGGTGGCCAAAGCTAGAGCGACTGCTGTATTTTCCAGTGAGACATATCTTCTGTGTTCTTATTTTTGCCTCTTTTTTGCCTTTTTTCCAGGGTGCCAGAGGGCCTGATGGACCAGTAGGCGAGCCGGGGTCACGAGGTGTCAAGGTGAGTGCCAGTGGGTGGGCAGGTTGGCCAACTCTTAGCTGTGTTGTGAAATGCTCTGCGCAGGATCAAGGTCACGTCCTCCTCCAGGAGGAACAGGCGATGTTTAATTGCTTCACGAGGATCAACCAGCAGGGATGAGTCTTTCATGCAGCCGGGGTAAAATCTGTCCAATGTGGGCATCAGGGCCCTTGGGGCTGGGGTCTGAGACCCTGGATACAGAGGCAGTCCACAAACTTAAAAGGGCCTCTGCTAAAATAACAGCGTCCCTCCCTCGCAGGAAGGGGAGTAGCTTTAACTGGCAGCGAGCGTGCTTGACTGTTACATCTGAACATAGCGGAAAAATTAGAGCAATTTAACACGACTGGTAAAATGTGACCTAAAGGAATACATACCTGTTCTGATGTACTTCATGTTAATTAGGTCAGGACAGGAAAAAACAGAGGGCAGGAGATGCCTGGTGCAAAGAGAGCCTGGCAGATACCCTGCCTGAGCAGGCTCTCATCCAAGGTGACCCTGCTCCACGACAGGCTTTGCAAGGGGTACATGTGAGAGTTTCTCCTTTTGGCAGCAGCCTGATGTGAGAGTAGTGTGGCAGAGCTGGACCTTTGTCCTACCATTGACCATCACAGACTCCATCCCCTGCATGGCACACATGGCCTTGTGAATGCAATTTGGATGGGGAATCTCCTTTGTTTTATGCCCTGCCAGGTAGGGCTGCACTGAGTCTCTGGAGAATCCCAGCTTCCTCCAAAGCAAAGTTTGCTCGAAAAACCTTAGATCATGCAGCCCATTGCCCACCCTCCTGCTGATTGGGGTGTTCCTCAGGGCAGGATGCTGGGCATTTGGCCCCTCAAAAGCTGAAGGGAACTGCAGGGGATATTTGATGCACAAAAATGCAAGAGCAGGTGGGCTGGGGCAGCAGAGCATCGCCAATAGTTTGTGCTCCTGCCAATGTGTCTTTGTCTTTTTGCTTTGCAGGGCCGACCAGGGGAGCCAGGCAAGCTGGGGCCAGATGGGCTGCAGGTATGTCCTCTGTGAGAGCCAGTGCCTGCCCAACCCGGCATGGTGTCGATCCCCCGTGGGGGTACCCACACCTACGCAGTGCCCAGGGAATGGCAGCTTCTCCTGCCCAAAGCGCCGCAGGTGTCTCAGCGCATTCCCAGCTGCTAATCGCTGTAATGTGTGTTCGCAGGGGAAGATGGGTGAGACTGGGGAGACAGGAGCACGCGGCTTCCCAGTAAGTGTCCCTCCCTTGTGCTTCCTTTCATAACCTTGGTTTCACTCAAGTCTGTAAGTTTTGGGTCCTGGTCCAGGAAAAAGAACTTGGACAGTGTCTTACGCTTATGGGGCTGCATCTCCACTCCTTTTACCGGAGTGTTTATGAGATGCGTGTTACTGCTGAGAGGCGTGAAAGATTGCTATGGGGTTGGAGCTGACCTTGGTGTTTTTAATTTTTCTAGGGTATCCAAGGACCTTCTGGACCTCCAGGAGCAAAAGGGGCTCCAGGCGACCCGGCAAGTGTCTTATCACTCTCTCTTCATCTGTCTTTCCTTGCACACACACAGACACTTCATTTCTTTCTGTCTGTCTCTTCCCTGCCACTCATTCCCATTCCCAGCTTCTCTGTTCTTGCCAACTCCAGTGCGGTCAGAGATGTGAAAGATTTGGCTAGAGTCCTAGGAGACGTGAGGAAAGACAAGGTCAGACCCCTGGAAAGCAAAAGGGAGCCGGGGAACAACCAGAGAGAGTGTAGGATACAGACTGGGCTGGATTTTGGAGGGGAAGGGGGAAAAGAAGGGCAAGGTTGAGACTGGGACAGGGTCAGATGTAATGGGAGGAGCTGGGCTGGGTTGGTAGGTGGAGCTGAAGGGGGACCAGGAGGGAGGCTGATGGTGTCAGAGCTCAGCCCACAGCTTTGGGGCAGGCGCTGGGAGATGACAGGTGAACACACAGACCTCAAGGAGGGCAAACAGGACCACCAAAGCAGGAAGAGGGGTCATCATCTGCTCTCTGTGTCTGTGGGGACTGACCTGGACTGTGAAGGGAGAGGATAAACCAGGCATTTTCAGGTTGCCAACTGGAGTTGTTTTAGGTGAGAGCCAGAAAGATGAAGGGCCTTCTGAGCTGTTGTTTGCCTGTTAAGGTGCCTCAGCGCACCCACTGTTGGCCTCTCCATCTCACTGGCCTTCTCTTGCATGCTGCGGAGCTCCACCATGATGTGGGAGGGAACTGGTGTTTTATCTTACAGGCCATTGAAGTAATGGCCCTTCCAAAATGAAAACAGTTCTATGAAAAGAGCCTTGTGTCTCTGTTTTTCAGGGTCCACAAGGACCACAGGGGCCACCTGGGCCTTTGGGAGAAATTGGGCATAAGGTAGGTGTGATCTTTGCTCCTATTTGTTTTCCCCTTGCACCGAGAGTAGCGGGACTGAGGGAGGAGTAAATGTGCAGAGGTGCATCCTTCCACACATGGGACACAAGCAGGAAGGATTTAGGATCTCCCTCAAGTCTAAAAGTCGTCTTCCAAAGCAAACAGTGAAAATCAGAAATTCAAGCATCATTTTCATCACAACCCATAGACACCCTGTTGGGAGATGTGCAGACCTATCTTCGTAACAGGAGAAACATTTCAAAACTGACCACGCTAACAAGCGTGTCCCAGGCATGGCTCTACGACCACACCAGGGACCACCTTTCTGCACCAGGGTGCAGAGTCAGGGACCAAATACAGTAACAATTCAAACTGAAGCCTGGTCTTTTCTTTCCCCCTCCCTGGGGCTGTTGCTGACAAGACACGATTTGTCAGCCCACCTGGATTGCTATAGCAGTCCCATCACAAGCTGCTGCAGCCCGTGGAGGAAGCTCAGAGAAACGCCTTTGCTGCTGACTGTGCTTTTGGGTTGCCGTTGCCATGAAGCAGTGGCACAAACACACCATAACCAAAGCAGCAGCAGCTGCCAAACAGTGCCCCGATGGCGTGCAGGGGATGCCTCCATGGTTTCACCCTAACTCGTCTGCAGCCTTGGCTTGATTTCGCTCCCCTTGAAGTATCATAGTCTCGGCTTTTTACACCAGATGTGCCAGTTCCTCTCGGGTAGCTCCTTTCCATAGGTCCCGAGCTGTAATGTAGACATGATGTTTCATGTGGTTGTGAAAACAGCAGTGAAGGTGGCTTTTAAGGCAGTCTACTGCAAAGTGTATGAGTCATGCAAGTTTCCATTCTCATGGCTGCTAGACTGGATGGAGTGAGTTCTCAGCGTGGTAAACCACACTGGGGAGCTGGAAAGCTGCTACCGAGCCACTCTGGATGTTGCCAACCAAGAAAGTACAGAGCTTTATTCAAATCTGTGACTCTTCCAAGAGCCTTTCTCTGCACTGGCACCTCTGGAGAAACCAAAGCAGGATTTTTGCTTTCATTGGAGCTTGAATTTTCTCGTTGCGTGACTTGACCATTTGTTCGTAAACCCAACACGCGCCCTGCTCCCTCCTTTGCTTGAATCCATTTCAGCAAGCGAGGAACTGGCTTTATTCCCTGGGCAGCCGAGTGCTCCCTTGACTGTGTGCTCTTTTTTCTTTTCTTCTGAACTGCAAAGAGAAGGGAGATTGTTGTCTGGAGAACAAATAACATAAGTAAATAAACTACTCAAATCCTTTAAAGACAAGCTTTGCTGTCCCATCTTTGGGCTTGTTTTACAGATTCTCGTTCCCCGTACTTCCCAGAGGTACTAGCAAATGTCCAAAGATTAAAGCTCCCAATTGATCTTGGTACTAAAAGTATCTAATGAACGTGACCCCTCTATGGCAAGGCTGCATGCGGCAGCTGGACACCGAGTAACAGTTTGCAAGGTCGTTTCTCTCGTCTTCCCTCTTTCTATCTTACTTCCCATAGTTTTCCAAGTCGGGCACTCATTTTTGGCTCTCTGAGGGATGCCAAACCCCTCTACCAGGGTCTGTGCTCAGATAGATAGGGCCACGTTATCTCACCTGCCAGGCACTTTCTTTCAGCTAGCATAGCCTGGCGACAGCCCCGGGCTGTGAATTTCTGGTCTGAGCCCAGTCGTCAGCATTAGGATGTTTACTGGCCCGTTACAGCCATACAAAGTGGGTGACAGATGTCAAGGCTGATCTGGCCAAAGTTTGTGCTGAAAGGTTTGGTGTAAACTTGCTGTTCTTGGCTCCCTGGAGCTGCCCTGGAGCTGGCAGCACGACTGTGCCCCTGCCTCTCCGGGAGCGTGGGGCCAAAAGCTTGAAGCTGTGTCGTCTGGGGCAGCCGCTCCTGCAAAGGCAGGGCAACTCGCCGTGCCTGCAAACCCTACGGCTGCATTAAGGCTTAGCCCAAACCAGGACAAGACCGGTGGCTCCGAGAATGTGCTCACGCCAGCGGTAACGGAGAAGTGGGGTTGCAGGAGGCAGGGAGCAAGAGCACAGCGGAGCATTTTTGTTATCCACTGCATCTGCCAACCTGCTGGACCCTCGTGAAGGGCTTTCAGGTCTAAATCTGGACCTTTTCCCTTCTTTCCTAACAAGTCCCAGTGCTGCTCCGTGGTGTGGGTACTAACCTTAGAGAGCAGAGGGTTTGGAAGGAGTTAGAGAGAGGTGCTTGGCAGGGGAGGAGGGGGTTGCCGCAGGGCTGGGGATGGGGGAGGCGTGCGAGAGGAGCAGTCCCAGGAACCCGGCACACGGGGGTACGGGGCCTCTTTGATGCTGCGTACCCTGAGCCAGCTCCGGGGAGGTAATTACATTGCAACCAGGGCTCCGCTGTCCCAGGAGAGCTCTGCTAAAGGAATTATGTCTTTGATCTTGCTTTCTATTTAGTTACAATGGGTTTTTTTCATTATCTTTTTTTTTTTTTTTTTTTCCAAGGGACCGCCTGGCTCAATGGGACAACCTGGCCTTGCAGGTGAACCTGGCATGAAGGTAAGAAAAACCTCTTGGTGCTATTTCTCTGTCAGACCAGGGAGATAACAGCAACTTCTCCTCCTGCAGGACTGGCTGATATTGCAGGTTCACCCTCCAGCAGCCAAAGCAGACACCACATTCAACAAAAGATAAAGTGTAAAAAGTAAAATCAGGTTAACTTTAAGCCCTTGGTTACATATTCCTGAGCCCCATCCCGAGGGGGAGGCTGTCAGTGCTGGGGAGAAGCGCCACCCCAGGGGGGTTCTGCCTCAAGAGCTGTGAAGTTGGAAATGAAGTTCAACTCGTTTGCAGATCCAAAATCTGAGAGGAGAAGGGAGTCCTTGAGACCCAGAGATCCAGGCAGCTTCTAATTTGAAACAAGAAGAGTCTTAATAAGGTCCCAAACTTAAAAATACCCTCAGATGAGGTCCTGCCACAGTTTCCAAGCCTCAGCTCTCTGGGGACTGAACTCCTGTCATGGTTATGGGGGAAGGGTGCTCTGCTCCGGAGCCATGAATGCACCTTCTTGTCCCCACGGAAAGGCCTATAAAAACCATCTCTTTGTTTGAATAAGATCCCTGTGCTGAGCAGCTCAGAGGGGGTTTTATTTTATCCTAACCCCCTTTCCGCTTGGTTTGAAGGTTTGCTCCTGTGTGGAGAGCTTTTGAACAGGCTCTGTGTGGGGATTAAATGCAATTTCCTCTTTGCTGTTCTTCACTCCCCACCCCCAGCCCCATCCTTTGCCATGTTTTCCTTGGCAAATCTTCTGACACTTCACTGGAGCTACCGTGTCTTTGGCGTCCTGATACTGCACGCGTATTTCGGCTCCCGTGCTCCTGGCTGCCCTCCTCGGGAACAGGACACGATGATTTGCGCGAACACCCCTTTACCCGCTGTCAGTGCAACACGTCCTTGCTGGGGGGGTCAGAGAGTGAGAGTCCTGTGCTGCTCCTTCTCCGAACTGGGAGGTGCTGGGACAGGCTGGGGTTGCTCTGGGCAGGCATCGATTGCAGACCAGTTGGCTGCAGGACGAGATGTATGGATAGGTCAAAACTTTTTCTCCTTTTGCCTCTGCCTTCCCTGAGCTCTCTTCCTTGCAAAGCAGTTAGCTTGGATGGGCACACATGGGAGGTAGCTGCCCTATGGCCATCGTACCCCCAGAGCAACCTCGCAGCCTGTCACCAAGATTCATTTGTTTGCCAGCTCCAGGCACCTTCAGTTCATTTGTTTTGGTGCCATCAAAGATTCAGGTTCTTCCTCGCTTTCGTCACTCATGGTGGGGCTCAAAGAGCTGTCGGTTTTCTTCTCCCTCGCTCCGGCTGTGTCAGCCACAGTGCTGCACTGCACCCAGCATTGCTGCTTTTCCTGCCAAAGGGCCATGCCAAGGGAATACCTTCTGGCCCTGCAGCTGCAGGCAGCACAAACCACTGCTGCACCCCTGTCCTGTTGAGCATCGTTGCAATAGAGCCTGCGAGGTGCACGTTGGCCCTCTGCAAGTAGCGGCGCTGGTGGTGCCAACCTGTCCTTTGGAGCCCCTGGCAAACTGAAGGGAAAGTGTTTCTGCGGGAGAAGGAAAGAAAAAGTCAAAATGAGGGGTGCAATGGGAAGTGCTTCATACTGACTTGCCGTCAGTAAACAGCTTGTCTCCATGTCTGTGGTTCCTTCTTTGTAGGGTGATCCTGGCCAGTTGGGAGTCCCTGGAGAGCAAGGCCTCGTTGGTCAAAGAGTAAGTATGGTCACCTTCTAGTAGGACCTCTCTGTCGTCCCAGTGCCCCAGAGGCTCTGTTCCCTGTTCCCCCCCAGCCTGGGCAGACAGACCCTGCTCTGGGCATCCCCTAACCCTTATGGCCCTTGTTTCTTCTGCGGGTGGTGGAAACACCTTCCTCGCAGAGCCTGTCTGCTTGAGCTCACCACCTCACAGGAGCCTCTCCAATGCTACAGTGCCGCTTTGCACAGTGCTGTGACAACCTCATGTATGAAAGAGGCAGTGTGGGAACAGACCCATCCTGTTCCCCGGCCAGGACAGTGCCGTCCGCACGGGGCAGGGAGATGCTGGAGCAGAAGGCAGGCATTAAGCAGGGGAACACTGGCTACACTATGCACACGTGGGAGGGAGCCAGGGACGGGATGAATGCATGGATTGAAGCCGGCAGCGGCTCTTGTCCCTTCTCACGACTAAGGTCAGTTGTTGGAGCAGGACGGAGAAGCCCCGGGTTACATGAATACAGACTTTTCAACCCAGGGAAGGAGGTCTTCCCGCAGGCCAGCGGCGGGGTCCGTGGAGGAGAAATTATGGCTCAGAATAAAGCAAGAGCCTGAACTCCTGCTCTTGCTCCGGGAAGAGTTCGTTCAGCATTAGGGTATGAGACAGGACACATGTCAGTGCAGGGCTGGGCTCCTGTCACTGCAGCCCAACTCACTGCCACGAGTCAGCTGCCAACAGCATAGGAGAAAAGCGTATTTGGGAACAGCCTCATGGTGCTCGCTTGCTTGTCTTGCAGGGAGAATCGGGGCTGGAAGGGGACAGCGGGCCACCTGGGCCGGATGGTGTCAAGGTAAACATCACTCTTGTGGCATTTCAGCTCTCACACGCATCCCCGTGCACTCAGATGCCCGTGGTTCCTGGGACCAACTTGAAGCCAAGGGAGTTATTGGGTCCTCTGTGCGATAACCCTCTGCCCTGCTCCCTCTAAGGATTTTTTTTCTGCAAGCACACATAATGGACTCCTCCTGTTTCACTCCTCTACCCACATTTTTGGCGTCTGATCAGATCTCCAAAAAGGTCAAGTTCTTCAAAATCTAGTTTCCAACAATTTGTCTGTTTTATTTGAGTCTTTACAGATTAAATTTCCGACTAATCAGGAATTCCTGGGCCTGGCAAGGGAAAACAAGAATTGTCCATCATTCTCCCCTGCACCACTGATCAGAACATTGTTTGCAAGTAAAGAAAACAGATCCCCTTCCTCTTGGCAAAGCCCCAGGTGCTCGCTCAGGGCTTGCACTGTGCTCTGTAGCTGCTGTGAGTTTGCTACCTTGCCTTTGGAACAGGACTTTGATTTCTGTCCCTGCACAGCCGGCCTTTCCAAACAGGCCAACAGTTTTGTTCCATGGAAAGAAAAAGCAGCCGGTCCCACAACAATGCAGTTTATTGCTTCATTCTAGTTAAGCTATTTGCCATGTGTCTCTACTTCTGCTTATCTCTGAATGGTGGACCAAAAGACTTCCTTAAAGACAGTCAAGACTTCTGTATTCTCTTGCTGCCACTAACTGTCCTCAAGAGCTCTGGAACCAAACCAGATCTTTTCAACCTGAATGTGCCTCTGAACAGTAGAAGAGCCGCTGCTCTCTGCAGGAGCATTTGTTTAACCAGAAGAGTTGTTGCTGTGCTTTCATTAGTGCAGGTGCAAACGGAAAACAGCTCTGTACGGGCTGGTTGGTTGCACCAGCGTAGGTGCTGCTGTCAGTACAGAATTGGCCTCATTGATTGTCTCCATACAATTTTTTGTCATCAATTATAAGAATGGGGTTTGACATGATACCTACTGCCCGGACCACAAATCCTTCACGGGGGCAAGATGACACTGTTTCGCAGAGTGTTTATTTGAGCCCTGGGCTGATTGCCATTTGGCAGCAAGAGCCAAGCGACCGCTCCAGACAAACCCGTCCTATTAAAAATCTTTCAGCATCCCGAGCTCAGAGCTTCTGCGTGAGGCAAGGGAGATTTTCAGATCTTGTCTGTCTGTCTCATTCATACGGGAGGTTCGGGCCTTATTGCAGGAGAAGCAAAGGGGTTCAGATTACCCTGTGTAATGGGGGAGTTCCTTCTCCTCCAGCCAAGAGACTTGAAAAAAAAGAAACCTGGTTTTGCTCATTTTGTTAAATGTCAAGTGTATTGTGACTCATGCTCATTCATCCTTTTGCTTGCAGGCTCTCTTCCTCTCAGGCTCCTGAAATATTAATTATGTGGTGGGTTTTTTCCTTGTGAGAGCCATGTACAGTGACCCATGTGTTGTGTGGGTATGAAAAGCTCCCATCCTCCTCTCTTCCACAGGGAGACAAAGGAGAGCAAGGTCTGGAAGGAGAGAAAGGAGAAAAAGGCAACGAAGGACTGAAGGGAAAAGAAGGGCCTCCTGGATATCCCGGCATCACAGGTGTCCGAGTGAGTCTGCAAAACCAGCCCGCTTGACCCCGTAGCTGGTCCATGGGTTTCCTAGAGGGACTAGTGCTCTCCTCCCCGAGCTGCACGGGCAGCCCTGTGTGCATCTCAGATCCCCAGGGTACGGGTATTGGCTCAGCGCAGCTCCTGCGCTATGGTTTCCTATGGAGATAGGGCCAACTGCCCTCTGGTTTCCAAAGTAGCAGTTGCATCTTACCCCAAAAGGATCAGCAGAGTGCTGCCTGCTCTTGTCTAAATCCCTACGTGAAAGATGACTGTAACCTTCCCCATGGCTGCGGCCTGAGCCCAGAGGTGCAGCACGTGCTCCCCAGCTCAGGCGCCGGGGCACAGCTGGCACATGCCGAGCTCTGGGCTGCAAAAGGCAAACCAGCTCGTCTGAAGAGATGAGATCCTTTTGCAACCAGAGGACAAAAGAAAGTTTGCAGTCTTGTGTCTGGGAGGCTGGATTGTGTTTGAACCCTAGTAAGAAATAAATAGGCTTTTTCTTTTTTTTTTTTTTTTTCTCTCTTTTTGCCTTTTTTTTTTTAATAAGGGCAGTAATTCCTGTATACGTTAATACTACTGTAACAGGACATGCCATGTTGCAGCAGAAGACCTGGGGGCAGATTGAGGGGGAGATGCAGACAGTGAACCAGGACACTGCTTAGGGCAGGAGGTCATTTGAGATGGGACTTGTCGCAAATGTTGTCAAAAAGTATTTTTGTGAAAGACTACATCCAGGAGACAGTTTAGTCTTTCAATCGGGATACCCACTTGAGATGTGGAACACTTCTCTGGTCTGCCGTAGGCTTTGAGACACTGTGCCTCTCTACTGCAGCTGTAAAACGGACCACCTCGCAGGGTATTAGAGAGGGATGTGCAGAGGCTGTGAGGAGCTGAGTTTCCCCTGGCTGCCACGGCTGGCCGTGGCCTGGAGTTTGGCAACGGCCAGCTTTTGCCTTCTCTCCCTTCTGTTTGATGATTACTTCTGGTTTTCCCTTCTAAGGTTTTCCCCTTAAATATAGAAAACAAATAGAAGAAATTAGAAGGAAATTATTCCTGAATACTCAATGACTATCCTAGGCATGTCTGGTTCACTTGGAGGTCTGATCTCAGTGCCACAGAAAGAAAAAATTATTCTGGCTCGGAGATGAGAGCTGCTGGGGCCAGAGGAGTTGGGCAGGGTCTGGCCTGGGGCTCCTTCGGTGGTGCCAGATGAAGGATCGCTCTGCCCAGTGCCCCAGTGGGCTGCTCTGCAAGCCACGTCAGGCCCTTCTGCTTGAAATGTGGAGTTTATCAGCTTGACGATGTGATTTACTCATTGTAGTTATTGTTGTGGATCAAAGTTGTTAAAAGCGTGGGCTCGCGAGGCTCTTTCTGCGAGGTGATGCCCAGTTGAGTCGGGATGCAGCCAGCCTGGCTGGAGCGGCCGTGCTCACCTGTAGCACCAGTCTTGTTCCTCGTGCAGCCGGAGAACATGCCGGCTCCCACCCCACACATGTCCAGGAGGCACACGAGCAGATCCAGCAGGTCAGAAGGAACGAGTAGCCCAAGTTTAACCAAGTTTGATGGCAGCTCTAAAATCCCTGCCCGGGATGGGTGGGAGGCAGCAGGGCAGGCAGGTACCTCTGAGCGCTGGGTGGATGCTCGATGTTGAAGGATGTTGTTTTTCGCTTTGGTGACATTGTGGCTGGCTAAAAGGAGGGCAGGGAGAAGGGTGTGAGGGGGTGGAAGCAGCAAAGGTTCTGGATTTATGTTATTTTTGGGCTGAGGTTGGGATTTGAGCACTGACTCAACTAGAAAGTGGAAACATTGGCTTAATACTGCGGTGCAGCACCATAAATGTGCAGAATAAGGCTGTAATCCTGCCCCAAATAAGGCCATCCTCAGCCACAGCCCCCAGTACCCGCAGGGACTGGGACCATACCATGGGCGAGGGGTGGTCCCCAATGTCCCCGCTCCCTCCCAGCTGCAGGCTGGCTGGCACAGCTGGACAGTCACCCTCAGCACCCGGCACTCTGTGTGCTGTACTTCTGGCTGCTTCACGTGTTTATATTGTGCATGTTTTAAGAACCAATAAAAATACTAAAATCATGCAAAAGCCATATTAAGTTATAAAGTATAAAATATAGATTCTCTCAGACTCCGTTCCTGCTGTTTGCCAGCATGTCCCTGGGAACATGATGCCTTTTTCTGGTTTATTTAAAAAAAAAAAAAAGTCACTAGAGCCAAGATTCCTGCTCATAATCACTCCCTTTTGTTGTTTTTTTTTTTTTTACTGCAGAGTGCTATATTTCCATCTACTATTTTAATATGCTCCTTTGTATATCCTTATGTATAAACTCAGGCAGACTTTGAGACCCGCATAGGCTCCAGAGAGCACTGTCTCCCCTGCCAAACGCCTGGCCATTATCTAATACATAGGCTGGTGTTTCTCTACTCGCTGAGGTAATTTAAAGATGGAAGTCCTCTGACAGAAGTACAAATAATTTTTCTCTTCCCATTTTTATTTTGAGACTTTTATCCTACCTTCCCATGGAGAAAATGTACAAATATTAGTGGGACCTCCCTTAGATTTCTGCCAAGATAAAGTTTACAGCTCAGAGATGCAAACCACTAGAGATAACTGCAACTCCTTTTCCACGGAGGATTGGAAGCTGGAATATCAAGTCAACCCATCCTCTGCAAGACATGCCACAAAAGCCACCGCAGGCACAGCCTGCCACAAACGCGTACAATGGACAGAGGTTTTTAAGGCTGCTGGACAAAGGTAACAAAAGTCTTCTCAGGGAAGAATCCTGAAGGTATTCACCCAAGGGCAGATGGCAAGGTTGCACGGTGACAAACTCCTGTCCAGGATTTGTAGGGTGGTATGGAAATTGCCTGGGGAAGGTGTGGAGGCACTCGCATTGCAGGGAGGAGGCATGTTGGGTTTGGGTGTGCTGCGGATACTGTGTGTTTACATGTTACGCATGTTGCATATGGTTTTAATACATCTAATGTGATGATGTTACACTGCCCAATACTCAGTTTAGATGGTTTCGAAGAGAACTTCATCTTTAGCTATTGCATCTTCATTTGGTCTCTCCTGGCATGACATCCAGGAGTCCTTAGGTCCGTGCTTCACTGCATTCTTGCCTGGACCCACTGACTTTTCCCTGGGCTAAAGATGTTTGCTTCTGCTCCAACATCTTTGGGATATTCTGCTCATCTGCAAAGGGCACAGGGGAGATGTTGATGCTTCTGTGCCGTTAGATGCACACAGAAGGATCTGTCTACTTACCTGTGCCAACAAACTGACCTCCATCTGGGAGTGTGTAGCTCATCTGCTTCTGGAAGAGATTCATATTAGCGTGAGGAAGCTGATGCCGATCTGCAGTTGTGGACATAGAGACAAGCTTCTCCTACACCTTGGCTTGGCCCTATGTTGCACTCTGCCTTGGCACTAGAGGGGACCCACAAAAACATGTCCTATAGCAACAGTGACAGCCTCTGGAAAAAAAACCCTTTTCATCACAAGTCCCTGCAGCTACATCACTTCTTGAAGATTTTTGCTTAATACCAATGACATGTTTAGTCTTAATCTCTATTTTGCTTATGTCTAAAGGAACATGACACTTCAGTGTCAAGTGTCCTCTTGACAGATGTAGGAAATGAGGCGCCTGATTGCTCTGAAATGATCTGGCTTTATTGCTTGTACATTTTCAGCCTATTTTGCACATGCTGGCCCGAGGCAAAGGCCTGGTGCTGGCAGCGCCCCGTGTAGCCGCAGAGCAGGTAGAAGCTGGGGAACTTGGCAGGGCACGTAGAAGCTCGCACACCACGTGGCAACGGGCCAGCACAAGCAATGGAAAGAGGTTGGCAGTTCTTCGGTCTGCACAGGCGTAGAGCTCCCTGGGAGGCAGTAGATGAAGGGATGTGCTGGAGCACCTTCACAGGTGCTAAGGCTGGAGGAAGCATAAAGGGTCTGTGCTGCCCTTCTGGGTCATGCAGAAGAGAGACGTTCACCCAGCGATTGATCCCTACAGCAGGGACACATCTGGCTTTACCGAGCAAGGTTTTATTTTCCAGAAAGCCAGGATGATGCTGATACAACATTACCAACTGAGCACAACCAACTTCCCTTGGTGCTCGAGAAACATTTTTCAAAGATCATTAGCTTTAACTTGGCTCAGCCATTTCCACTACTAACATATCTGAAAACCGGTTTCCACTGTGGTTTTAAATCTCAAACAAAAGCAGCAGGGAGGCCCCAGCCAAGTCTCCAGGGGTAGCTTGTACATGTTTCAAAGCCAGTGGATTTCAGCAAACAAACCTGGCAACTGAGATGGTCCATGAGTCTCCCAGCTGTGGCTGGCAGGACTTGAGGCAGCTGGAGCTGAGATACACGAGTATCCTCTATCTTTTGGTCACTTGGTCCAAGTTCACACTGCTCCATTCAATTCCAGTTCTTGCTCAGCAGAGGGGTGGGCCAGTTGTCCCTCTGGTCCTAAGAGAGAAACCAGAGCACCTAAAACACTAACTAACACAGAGCTGAGTGCAAGATCTGCTTGAGACTTCAAAAATTGCATCAGAAATGTGCACCTTTCCTAAGCTGCTGCTGTCTCACATATTATCTCCTCCCAGTGGTTTCCATCTTCCTCTAATACAAACTTCTTGCCTTCTGTTGACCTTGACTCTCTTTTGGACTTGGCCATTTGATCTCTAGTTGGCTTGTTTGAGCAGTGAGCAGTTGATAATCTCTTTCCC